ATTTTACATTTACACCGTAATAAAATAAGCCAGCATAACCTGATGTCCGCACAATGAAAAAATTTATTAAAGTACATTTTTTTATTCGAAAGTAACTTTGAAATGTAATGAATATTTAGTGCGTATAACAAAAATATTAATAAAAACATTAAAAATTGTATGAAGTTAATATTATTGATTCCAATTATTAATAAGTGGCCCCAATATATTAAAAAACTAGATCTAGTACAAAAAAAGATTTTTTGCATGTTAAATGTATATTTAAAAAATATATATGATGTCTTACTTTATAACAATGCAAATTTAAAATGTTGAGTGTTTCGATATTCTGATATGTTTAATAATTACGAATCACTTACGTAACTGATATTGATTGCTTATTAAGATTTATTTTTTATCCGATGACAAACTTTTGCCAAACGCTGCTATTGATTATTCTAGCATTAAGATTATATTTCGTTACTTACCTCACTCCACCAAATCAACATTAAGTCTCCCAAAAACTCAATACTAAATTTAAAACAAATAAGATTTTAATTTTAAAAAATGTTATAAATCGTTTAAATATACCAAACAAAATAACGAAGCCGGAAATATCATTCGATATTTCTACAATTATATTTTATTTATTTCACAACTGACATTGAATAGCTGACCAACATTGGATTTGCGACTATCAATGTTCAACTCCGCTTTTAATGTTGAACGCAACTCAGAAGACAAGTGTACTCCTTAATCAAGCATTCTTACATGCAAAAATAGTCTTAATATTAAGGGTCGCAAATCGTGTACAAGTCATTTGGGGCGTATTTAATATGAGAAATACACTTTTTTCATCAACAAATGTATTACAATTTTTACTAACGATATTCGAAATTGAAATAAATTCTATCGAATCAGCGTATGATTTATTTGTTTATTTTTTTCTTTGATATTCTATTTTTATTTTAAACTACAACCGCCATCCTTATTAAAATTTCAACCTTTTGAAGCAGAAATTTTATTAAATATACTTTTCCTTATTTTGTTTTAATTTAGTTCAAAATAAATGAAAAATATTTTTTAGCATTTTAATAGTTTATGGTTATGAAATACAGCATGGAATACTGGCGTCTTTTTCTACGTTAAAGGTAAAATCTTCCAAACACAGCTCACTTCCAATCAATAATTTTTCCTATTTGAAGTTATTTCTAAGATATTTAAAAGCAAAAATAAATCATCATGAAAATCTCTTTAATTTACAAAGTCAATTATTGATACATTTTTGAATATGAATTGGAAAAAAAAAATTCGAACTACTTTCGAATTTTATATTTTAGTACAAATAGGATTCCAATAATCTAACAAATTTTAACTATTAGACTTTTTAATATAATTAAAAAATACTAAATATAATTTAACTTATAATTAGAGAGCCAGAAAAAAAATATATAAAAAGAGACCGGCGTCCCATTTGAGCTAAGGGATAAAGGAGAGAGTTAGAATTTTCAACTGCAGGAGAAGAAAAAAAACTAGAATATTCAATTAAAAGTTCTTTTTTTTAAAGAGATAAATATTGCAAATAGTAAATTTAAGATGCAAAAAGTATGTAATAGTAAAAATAGAGCTTTTTATTTTGACCATTAAAGAAAAGAAAATAATGAATTCATTTCGATACTTATCAATTATAATAGCATCTATCTATACAAGTAAAACAATCCTAAGATATTATATGAAAAACTTAATGTTAGAAAATTTAAGATTCTACAGAAATTTATCTGAGTAATTAGGGTATAGTTTTAAGATAAAGAAAAGAAGCCCTCGATTTAAGAATAAATAAAATTTGGTAATTTTTATAAACAAATGGCCTATAAGGAAATACCTAGTTATATTTTATACACTAATTTTAAAAAAGTAAAGTCTATGTTCTATTAACTTTATTCATTTGTTTTTATTTATTTTGGCTGATCGCGAATTGATGATCGTAAACTTCTAAAATTAATATCTCAAGTTGTCGAAAAAGAAAATAACACAATTTTAATCTTTAAAAATTTGATTTCATTTTTAAGTTGTTTTAAATAACATTGTCAAACAATTTAAGTATCATTTTTGTCTCAAATACAATCAGTTATCTACCTGGTTATTCACTTATATAGCTTTAAACTTTTAAGAATGTTAGGAAATAATTATGAAAAAAACGCCTAGATCGTAGAGTCACAATTTTTTTTCTTCAAAAGGTCTTTGCAATAAGTGACTTATTAAATCAAACGAAGAGAAACTATCAAAAAATGTGCATAAAAAATTAAGGGAATTATGGATTTTAGACAAAAATATTTAACTTAAATCTAAAAATGGACTTTTTATGCTTAATATGAAGTCATTTAAGTTCCCAAGATTAAAAGAAAAAGAAAAAAGAAAGAAAAAAAACTTTTCATTGTAACTATTTAATAAATAAAAAATCTTTGGGTTAAATCGTTGTATATCGTCCAAATATGCATATTTAAAACAATTCAAACAATTTGTTACAAATTTTGGGATCAGCATAAAAGACACGCAGATATTAGATAAGCATGTTTAAAAAAATTTCATTAAATCTACTCGTTTGACCAAATCTTGCCGCATAAATATTCATTAAAAATGTAGAAAATTATATAGATGAGAAAGAAATCAGTAACTCTATTTTTATAATTCAAAGAATTTTAATTCAATTGTAATTAGGATTGGTTAAAGTATTGATTTCTAATAAAAGTATACCAATTCTAATGATATTCAGTCGGCATACTGAACTATTCAGTGCAAAAGATGATTTACTCCACTTTTTGCAAAATGATAGTAAATTTAAGTATTAAGACATTTAATGCAGCCGTACATCTTTTCAAGAAATCTCACAAATAATCAAAAGTAAGATCTCGAAATTAAAATATAAAATAGTTAGAACTATTGGAAAAAATGTAGATTTCGATTTCTTGTTTTATGGAGTTAATTTGCGCAGTGAACAGCACATATGACTTTTTCGTATCTCTATACTGCACAGTGGGCCGGCATCCAAGGTTTCGTGGCCAAAATTAGTACTTCGATAAAAAAAAAAATTTCAAAATTTGGGGTTTTTTATTTAGGGTTTTCATGTGCAGGTAAATTGAATTTACAACTGAAATTTTGAAATACACTAAAAATGCCAAGAAAAAACAATATGGCGGCTGAAATATAGCCCGCAAAAAAAATATATATAGTACGTTTAAATAATTAAATATAGCAAATGAAAATATAATAATTTCCGTAATTTTATATTAAGAATGAAAAGCAAATTATATTTCCGAAGTAAAATTACAAAATAACGCGAATTACAAAATAACGCGAAAGCATGAAAAAAAACATAATTTTTGTTTTTCGGTATATTTAGTCCACCTTTGCAATATGGGCAAATTGGGGCAGATTTTTTCGAAAGAAGAAACATCAAAGAAGACAACAAAAAAAAGTTTAGCTAATTACCTCGTGGAACTTTTTGGAGATAAGTTTCGAAAGTGATTCAAATATTGTAAAATGTCAAATGATAAGATATAAACTATAAGTATGCCAAGAGTATTAACTAATCCAACAAATTGAAAAATTGAAATCATAATTTCAGACTAATTACTCTGACAAAAATGTAACAAAAAGGTGAAATTCCTATAGATATTTCTGAAATTTAAATTTAGACTAATTACTCTGACAAAAATGTAACAAAAAGGTGAAATTCCTATAGATATTTCTGAAATTTAAATTTAAAAGTTAAATTCAAAAAAAATTTTTTTAGCATATTTTTCACTACATTGTACTCTTGTCAGTCAAAAAAGTAAATTATAATGCTTGGAATGATTATGAATACTTAATTTGGGTGATATTAAAGCTGCTTAAACATATTCTAATTGAAATTAAATTTTTGACTTTTGGCCGAAGATTATGATCTTCTCACCCACTGTGTACTGATATAAAAGCTTCTTATTTGATTTGTTTTAGATTTGCTTTTTCATTTCTGTTAATTTCCCTCCAAGTTTTATTGATTATCTCTTTATTTTTCGTTTACAGAAATAAGATTTTTCGTCTTTCAGAAGAAAAAAACTAATTTATCGGCCAAAAATTGTTTTAAACCCACCTTAAAATTTTACTCCCTCTCAACTCTCCTTACTGATTATGGAAATTTTTCGATAATTATTTTGTATAAACTACGTAAGTTCTCCGCTTGATAAAGTGACTATGCATCTAAACTATGCAGTGATAAAAACAATGCACGGTTGAACTTATTCATGTCCCAGAAAATATTCATATGCATTCATCAAAAACTTTAGTCCAACATATTTAAAACTAGTTGGATCATGCATTGGAATTTTACAGGACGTTATTATGCATCACTACACTTTAGACTTTTATATCTCAGCACAGTCTTAAGGTTGAAAAAAAGTAAAGAAAAAATTATTCAATGAATATTTTTGGCAAATGAATCTGTTCTAAGCAAAATATTTTAAAACTTGCAAATATTTAAGTAGATAGGAAGCTTTTGTGAGTTTTTCTAAAGAATTAGATGCGTGGTTTATGGATGCTTGGAATTGCAGAGCCTTCAATATGTTAGATGGCACATTAGAACTTCTGATTTTTTTATTTTGTCATACTATGGTCGACTGCAAAAGAGCATTTATTTACACCAACATTTATTTTCTGTTAATAAAGTCGATCTTACTTAGAAAAATGTATTTAAAAAAAAAAAGTTTATTTAATATATCTATTTATTTGGAAGCCGATTTTCTTTATTTACATTAATTATGCATTCAAACTAAATCTTGTGATAAACATGTGATTAAAAATGCTACAGAAACATAGTAACTCATTCCGAAAAGGAATGGATTACAACAACAAGGATAAAATGCATTCCACTTGACAAAACAAGCATGTTAATTCTTCGCTTACGGCGCTTAACGTGGTGAATATTTTAGTGCCAATCGTAAACTAAAATTAAGGTAAAAAATGGAAATTAAAATATGACTTACCCGTGTAAGTGTCGGGCAAAACTAATGGTGGACCCACACAAGTAATGCCACCATTTTTATCTCTATCTATACTGCGAGCATGCACTTGTTGACATACATATGCCTTGTATAAAAGTAGAGGTTTGTCCAAATCAACTCTAGCCGGTCCTTGTACTTTGTTATTTTCAAAGATTCTCACAATTTGGGGCAGGCCATATTTTCTCAAGAATTCTGGAGGGGGCAAAGGCTCTCCCCAACACTTTATTCCAGAAAGAGAACTCATGCTCAAGTTTGTCTCTGTCTTTTCAAAAACGTCACAAGTATCACCCCTTTTCCAAACAATAAACCAAACTTGTCATGTGTAAACACTTAACAAACAATTTTCCAAGAAATATCAGGACAGTACTATTAGCAAAGGCAGGTATTAAAAAACCAGATGTATCATGGCAAAATATCCAAAGCTAAAGGAGATTAGAGTAATCCACAAAATATCTGGAATGATCCAAATCAGTAAACAATCATAAAGTTGATATTTTTGTTCTTCAGAAACCACCGGCACTCGAAGTGAAGAGACAACGTGACTTGGAGATTTTCTTCCGCAATTGGCGCACCTCCTTCCAGACTCAAAGTTGTTTTGAAAGTGAGAGTCAGGAAGGTGTGTTTCCATTGTGATGTTTTCCCAAACGTGTTTGGCGGAAAAACCAGCCAGCCAACTTGTTTTTTCGTTTCTTCAAATATCGCCAGAAATGATTGCGGGTGTTAATGCAAAGAGTTGACGTAATTTATTCTTTTTTAATTGAAAATTTCTTCTTAAGGGATGAATTATTTATTCACATATCCTGGAATTACTTTCGCTTTAATATATACGGGTTTACTATTATTATATTTTAAATCAAAGTTGTTGTGCAATTTTTATAAATATTTAAATTTCGTTGAAAATTGGAAAGCTAAAAAGAGAAAAAAAACACAGATACATTAATTTTTTTAAAAAAAATATGCTCCTAAATAAATTATTTTAGAATCCTAATGTTGAAGATAAATTTTAACGTTTTATGAGATAAATAATATTTTTGGATATAATAATGTAATATTTAGTGATTTTAAGCAGACTTCTTGAGTATTACAGGAAAATTTCAAAATTTTTAAGCTTATTATTTAAATGATCTTTTGGAATAATTTCGAATCTAGGACATTTTAAAACATTTTCTAGCAGAAAATTTGATACAATTAAATTAACCTTACTAATCCTTAGATAAAAAATTTAAAAGTTGAGTGCCTTTCTTTTCATTGAAATTCAATATTATAGCTTAATTGTTGAAATGATAATTTAAACCTTAGAATTTAAAAATAAAGTTAACTTTAAAAATTAAGTTTATAAAAAAATAACAATATATGTAGGCCTGGTTTGATAGTTTTACATTCAAACTCGTTAGGGGAAAAAAACGGAGACAATAAATGGAGAAGATACAGCTAACGAATCAAATAAATAAACTGTCACTAACTTGATACAGCATTTTCTCAATATAATATTTTTTTTATACTTGCTGACACGATAAATCCTTCAATTTTTAATATTAAACACTTAACAGTATGCGCTTAACTAATATAATATTCTTAAAGTTCTAGAATTTACGTCACGTACAATTTTTTACTTACTTAATTCGTATTTTTGATTAACAAAATGAAATACTTACATTTCATCAAAAGTAGGACTTTTTCAATTAATTAATAATAATTCAAGTAGATTAAAAAGAGAACATAATTTTAATTTTGTTTGACCGAAACGAAAAAACTTGAAGCGCAGCACTTTCGTTATTACTTTCTATCACCACCGAAAATCCCCATAATTTCAAAAAAGATGCACCCTATGTTTGCCGATATTCTTTGGCCGGGAAAGTCAGGGTGATCTGCCGTTGGTCTTATGTCCGAGAGGTCGTGAGTTCGATCCCCGCCGGCCGAATACTCTACATGTACAAAATTGTGACTGATACACACTAAATCTGTCGGGGTCACAAAGCCCTCCAATTTCCCATAACAAATCAATACCTCTGGGGGTACTGGATCGGAAATTGTAGCAATGTCAATTGAAATTAATGTGTGATATTTATACGATACAAATTCTGCTTCTAGCTCAAACTGCCACAGTGCTGATGAAAAATATCCGGGCATCACGGGTTAGAATCATCATGCCGTGGGGTGGTTTCCCATGCTATGGGTGGTTTTCGTGGCTTTCCTCTCCGTGTAACGCAAATGCAGGTTAGTTGTTTCAAACAGTCCTCCACGAAGGCTAATTTGCTCCAATGCTAAAGTTATCTTGTCTTCTGTGTTGGGTTCAGAATTACTAAGCGACAAAGTAAAACATTAGTAGTCGTAAACCCACGAATGTGTCGACTGTTCAACGCCGGTTATGAAATATGTAAAATTATTATTGGCTAAGTTATCCCGACAACTTAGAGACCATTTCTTTGCAAACACCAAATAATAAAAGGTTAGATGTTTCTTTGGTTGTAGCATAAAAAGCTTATTTTAACATTAATTTTAAATATTTTTCCTTTTTCGAAATTATGGAGAAAAGCTTGGTTGAAATTATAGTTTCTTTAACACCACCATTTATGTTCTAAAACGTTTCTAACGTAATGTTCTAAACGTAATGTAAACATTATGTTCTAAAACAGTGTGTCCCAAAAACAGTGTGTCCCAAAGTGGTCCATATGGACCCCCAGGGGTCCGTGCTATCATTCAGGGGGTCCGTGAAGAATAGGTCCCTGAAAAAGGGGTCCCTGAACAACATCAGGGGGTCCGCGTGAGGTTTAATATAAAATAATAAAGTTGTGATTGGTTTTTATTATTATGGAAATTAAGATAAATAAAATAGTAGCGATTTTTACGCTCAAAGTAAACTATAAATAAAGGTGGTTGCTTATAATTATTAACAGTGGTTTGTTACAAATGAAACAGTTGATTTACAAATTTTCTCATATCTTTTGTTCCCTTTTTAAGAGATAACAGTATGAATGAGTAGAAAAAAAACGCCGAAAATACAGTGTTGAATATTTGAAGTATGTCTTTATTTCTTCATCAGGAAATAGTACCTTACCTATGTGTCTTCTATGTAATAAAACTATAACAAGTGATTCAATGAAACATTCCAAGCTGAACGAACAATTGATAAAAATCCATAGTGACAAAAAAGATAAGGATTTAACTATTTTTCAAACAGTCAAAGAAAAATATCTGAAAACACCGTCATTGCAACAACTTATAGGGACAACATCTAAGCAAGGTGACGATGGATTGCATGTTTTTCATAGTTTCGCATGTTTCTTTATATTACATGATTCCAAAGTCCGGAAAGCCTCACACTATTGAAGAACTTATTTTACTAGCTGTAAGTGAGATAATACTCACCGGGTTGCATAAACCAGCTTTTGACATTGTAAAAATAATTCCACGGAGTAATAATAATGTACAAAGAAGGATTGACAAAATATCTCAGTGCGTAGAAAATTCTTTATGCGAGTACTTAAAAATATCTGAATTTTCTATACAGCTAGGCGAGTCCACTTATAGAGGAAACAAAGCTTTTACTTTTATCTTATGTAAGATTTGTAAAAGAATAAAAATTTTACCAAGAATTGTTATTTGCTAAATATTTGGAAAGCGATATGAAAGGTGAAACGCTATTGACTGAATTGAAAGCTTATACCCTTGTCTAATAGCATTTCTGTAGCTACTGGCGGTGCTCCGGCAATGGTAGGGAGATACCGAGGACTTCTGGCTAACTTAAAACAAGCTGCAGCGAATGCATTTTCAGTACATTTGCCAAACTTAACGAAACTAATTTGAAACTACAAGATGAACAATTAAATTTAATCAAAACTAAAATCGTAAAACTGAGTTTATGGCAAAACTTTTTCTGTATAAACAAAACTTGGGAAGAGGATATTGTTCTCTCAGTTTCAGTGCCATAATGAACCTCATGTCAAAAATATAATTAAATAAATTATTAGAAATTAGTGCTCACAAACATTGAGCCGGGCATAAATACCCTCTTAAAATCTCATCACGTTCATCCAAGTTAATAATTTTTTTTTAAATTTTTTTTTAAGCAAAAGATATAATTTCAATAAATAGTTCTTCAACAAAATGTCTTTTCCTTATTTGTAATTTTTATACCGTACATATATGCAGTTTTTCACTTGGGGCTCCGTGGGCAAGTTTAGACTATAGAAAGGGGTCCATGGATCAAAAAAGTTTGGGGACCACTGTTCGAAACGTAAGAAATTTTCATCTATTATACTTGCAATTACTGTCTTAAAAATAGACTGAAAGCTAAGCTTTAAATTAAAACAACAATAATCAATTTTATTAGCGTTCTAACAATATTAATTAAAAACTGCTCAACAAAAAAAAAGTTGCATACATATAACAAAAGTTTTAGTCCATCTTTTAAAAAATATAAGAATGGTGTATGTAAAATTCCAAGAATGCAAGCGGCAAAAAATGTTTTGGTCATGATATAATTTGTAACCTAAAAATCTCAAAAAAGTAAACGTCAGAAAATGTATTTAAGTAAAAACTTACACCTTACATGTGTATTAAATATTTTTTTTCCAAATAAATATCTCTGATAAACAAGCTATAAGATATCTAGCATGATGTGTGCCTTTTCTAATGTAGCTTGTTAAGCTGATTTCAACTATAAATAACCGTTTTGCTCTATAACGTCAGGCTTTGAAGATATTGAACAAAATTAATTTTCATGGAATACTGTTTCAATTTCAGTAATTTTAATGGAACACTGTCTAAATTTTATTAGTGCCAATAGAATGCTATTTAAATTAGTTAGTTTTTGATGTTGTCGTTGGCCATTAAGCTAAAGGGGTGTCATCTTTGGCCAAGAATTCGACTTCTGTCACACCCATACGTCACACCCGTTTATAGGGCAGACCCATTCTTAAATTCATTCACTCATCCACTGATCGTCATTTTGGCCTGAACCGGAGAACGATCCATCTCCAATTCAGTACCAACAGAGGTATAATTTGTTATGGGGGTATGGAGGACTTTGTGACCCGACATATTTAGCATGCACCAGTCACCATTTACTACACCGACCTTCCATTTACTACACGTGTCTTCGGCCAGCTGAATTCGAACTCCCGTTCTCACCAACGTGAGTCCGGCGTCCTGCCAACCAAGCTATCCCGAACAAATTAACTAGTTTTAAAGAAATGCTATTTAAATTTCATTAATTTTAATGACATATTGTTTAAATTTTATCAATCTTCATAAAATATTGTTTAAATTTTATTAATTTTGATGAAATCATCTTGCATTAGGTACAACAACAACCACACATTTTTCTTTGCACTGAGTGACACTTTATACAAGAACCACAGAAAAAAGCTCTGTGAGGAAAAAAAGAATGCATTGGAAAAAAGCAAAGGGAAAAAGTACTTAAGCACTTACATGAATTTAATGACAGATTCGATTCATGCTGTTAAACACGAATTTAATATAATTAAATATTTATTCGAGTCTAATTAGATACTTTTTAAAAAACTGATTAATATGCAAAAATGAATTTAAAGCTTGCTGAAACGAACTTTTAAGGCATGCTCTGATTTTTCTTAGCTATCAAAATACAATTATACAATGCACTTAAGAGTATTATTATATATAGTGTCTCAATTAATAATATAGTTTTTAGGAGGTTAATTTGGGATAAATTAAAAATATTGACAAAAATTATTAAAAGTTTTATTTCAATAAAAAAATTTTTTTTTTAAATATCTGTTGATAAAACGTTATAACAAAGTGACTAGCGTAATTAATTATTGGAATTCAGGAAAATAATGGAGCTGTTTTGGAGTCCTAAAAATTTTGTTAAATAGTAAGAAGTACCTTCCATGAACTTTAATCTTTAGACTTTAGTTAATTTTTCATTCGAATAAATATTCATTACTTTAAATTCGGCTTATTTTGCTCGATGGCCCAAATCAAATTGGACGTAAATTTAAATAATTGTTAAAGAGATTCAAATTGGATTTTATTTTAAGCATTTCTTCGGTGTTTATTTTTTTTCTTGGAGCTTTTTTCGTGTTCTTTGGGGGTGATTTTTACCGATGCTCTTTTTCTGTTTACGATTTACTACTGTGTAGATATGTCCAAGGTATATACAACTCAAAAGTATACCTTAAATGAAGGATGTATTTTCAGTGCGTATCAATTTTATGCTTGCTGTATTCTAAACTCGATATTTCCATACAGTATATATTATGTGATGTGACTTAATCTGACTGTGTGACTCAATAATCTGACTAGAACAGTGATGGCTCAGGGGATAGAGCGTTCGCCTTCAATGAGGGGAACCGGACTCGAATCCCGGCAATGGCTGGGTGATACGAATTCCGCATCCGGCTTGCACCCGACCACAGTGCTGACGTGAAATATCCTCAGTGGTAGGCGGATCATGGGTTGGAGTCCCCTTGGACTAACCATGGGAGGTTCTCGTGGTCTTCCTCTCCATGTAACGCAAATGCGGGTTAGTTCCATCAAAAAGTCCTCCACGAAGGCAAATCTCTCGCAATACTTGATCCATTAGTTCTCTTGTCTTCTGGATTGGGGTTCACAATGACAAAGCTACGGAGTTGAACATTAGAAGACGTAAACCCAAAAGATTGGGTTGGCTGTTCAACGACGGTTATAATATTTAAAAAAAAAAGTAATCTGAGTAATGATACGTTAATGAGTATTTGACACTGTAATAGTAAATGGTTCTTGTGAAATGTAAATGGTTAAAGAAATATATCTAAAAAACGGTGAGTGATAAAGACAAATAGTTTGCAAATTTTCAATCAGAACATCTTAATTGTCTCAGAAAATGAATTGGACACAAAGATATCCGTCACTTTTTAAAATTTGTTTACAAGGGTTATTATTGGGGGTGTAGTAATCGTGACAACAAAATTTCACTAACATTAGAAAGATAAGATTTTAAATATTTAAATTAGCTGAAAATCTCCTTTTTTTTACGAAATTTTTTATCGATCTAGTGGAGCACTTTTTACACAAAACTTCTTAAACTTCCCTAAAACCATAAGATTAATACAATCCTCTCTCCAACAATTATCAATACACCATCAAAAACACTTAATGCCCACACGAAAATAAATAAGTAAAAAATAAAGGCGGAAAAATATCAATCAGGTTTTTTACGAATTTTTCTGCTACTAATTTATTATTTCGGAGAAAATTTACCTCCATTGAGCGTAAACAGTTTTCGATGTAAAAATTCTGATTGACCTCTAGTAACACGAAAAGATGTCATCAATTAAATATTCGACAATCTAAATGAACTTCATTCCATCAATCATTCCATCCCAAACGAAGCGATGTATGCGTTGCCACTTCCGCAATGTTAACTCTTCTAGAAAAGAAAAAAAATATATACAATGTTGTTGCTTAAGTCAACTTAATTCAATTTTAAGTACCTTAACTAGAGCGTCGAAGGAACCAATAAGTTCAACTTGTTATCTGACTCATCTATCATACGTCACTTTTGTTTTCTTTTTTTACAATCCAAAATACGGATGTGATGGGCCTTTTGTGTCCTTAAATGTCTGTCCGAAGGTGCGGAAAGTTTAACGACATCGAGTGAAACATAACAGAGAAAGATTTATGCTTGTGAAAAATAGTGCTGTCATTAAGTTCTTTTCATTCTTTGTGCCAAAATAATGTCTGCCCAATCGAAAGTGACTACCACGTTTGAAAAAATTAATCGATAAAATAAAGACCCAATAATAATCAGTGACATCGAACAGGGGCGTACGCAAGGGGGGGGTTAGGGGTTTAACCCCCCCCCCTTGCTCAGACAAAGTGAATTTACAAAATAATACAGACAAAAATAAAAATTTTAGTAGAAATTATGCGGGTTATTATTTTTTAAGACTATATATTTTTATTTGCCTTATGCCTACTTTTTTTTTCTCACGGTATTTCTCAGAATACTGATAAAACATTTACTATAATAGGGTTGTATTTTTGAAACCAAATTCACGTGATACTGTTACGGGCGAGCCCCGATCACTGGTTCCTTTCTGACCTGCCAGTCGCGATAGTTTTCGAGACTGGCTGGCATTCGCGAGGTCTGGAATCCTAGACGTTCTGTCGTCTTTGAGACAATTCGAGAATTTTGTTGATGCGGTTAAAAAAAATTATATGAAAGGGGGTTACATTTATTTTCGATTTTGGTCAGACTAAGAGTTATCTCTGCCGCTTGTCCTTCGGAGCTTGTTTCTAAATCTGTTTTGTTTTGGAGACTCGGTGTGCTCGTTGAAGTTATTCATTCCAGCTCGAAACTTTTAGATCGTAGCTTAGTGGATATTTCTGTGCCAATATGTATGTTTATATTTTTGCTGTTCTTGGATCTTTAGGATGTCTAAACGCAAGAATTTAACAATTTTTAATTACTTTGAGAAAAAATCACGACCTGAAATTAGTGAGGTGACAGCATCTAGTACCAATGTAAGTTTTTCTGTTGAACAGAAATGTGATACTTCCGTTGAAGAAAACGTTTCTAGCGTAACAGAATCTGATGAAAGTGAAAGCGGCCCTTAAAGTGTTACTTCCCACCCATATGACATTGGACTTTTTTCAGAAGATAATACATGCGAGGATAAAAAACTGGATATACTTAGAAATATTTGGGAACCCAATCCAGCATTTGTTTTTCCTGAAAAAGGAAAAAGAAAATTGAAATTTCAGTACAAATGGCTTTATCGCTGGAAATGGCTTGCATATTCAGAGGTTAAGGGTGATGCTTTTTGCAAATTTTGTGTACTTTTCGCCCCAAGTGGTGCCGGTTCTGGAAAGCAACCTTTAGGCCAACTGTGCAATGTAAAATTTGACAACTGGAAAAATGCTGTAGAGCGATTTTCTGAACACGAGAAATGTCTTTATCACAAAAAATCGATCGAAACTGCTGGGACATTAAACGATATTTTATTTGGAAAGATGAAACCTGTGGATGAACAAGTTGACAGTGCAGCAAGCAGAAGAAAATTAGAAAATAGAAAAAACATTACTCCAATCATTGAAACCATCCTATTTTGTGGAAATCAAGGTCTCGCTCTAAGAGGACATAAGGATTCGGGAATAATTGCTGAACAACCAGGTGAAGAGAACGACGGAAATTTTCGGGCATTGCTTCGTTTCCGGAGTAAGAACGATTCGACTCTTAAGAACATTTTAGAGTCAAGCAGAAAAAATGCTCAGTATACCAGCCCTCGATTTCAGAACGAAGTTATTGAGGTTTGCAATATTTTAATCCTGCAAAAACTAGTCAGCAAGATTAATGATGCAACTTGCTTTTCCATTCTTGCAGATGAAACAACTGATATTGCAGGTATAGAGCAATTATCGTTATGCGTTCGATATGTCGATAAAGAAAATTTTAACATCACCGAACAGTTTTTGCAATTCATTCCGGTGCATGACTTAACCGGAAAAGCAATAGCAACAACAATATTAGACCAATTACAGTCTATGAAAGTTGATATAAAAAAGTTACGTGGACAGGGGTACGATGGTGCTGCATCAATGAGTGGAAAAATTAATGGTGTACAAGCCCACGTAAGAAGTATTGTCCCATCAGCACTCTATGTACATTGCTCTGCTCATAGCCTCAATTTGGCTGTATCAAATGCATGCGAAATAACTGGCATTAGAAATTGCTTAGGGACAATTAAAACATTATACGACTTTTTAAATACGCCAAAAAGACAGTATGTCCTATCTTCAGCAATAGAGGAGATGGAAACCAGCTCTAAGAGGGAGAAAATTAAACAGCTATGTGCAACCCGTTGGATGGAAAGATACGACTCAGTAACCGCTGTGGTGGAACTTTTCGAGCCTATCGCCGAAACACTACAAAAAATATCAGAATGGAAGGATAAGGAATCAGCTACCCAGGCTAATTCTTTACTGTGCACAGTATCTAATTGCCAGTTCGTAATATCTCTTTTGTGCATTTACAAAGTTTTCACCATAACAATCCATCTCTGTAGATACCTACAAAAAACAAGCATAGATTTGATAGAGGCAGTGAGTCTTGCAGAAGATGTCATTAAAGATCTAAAATTAATGCGTGAAAATGCCACTGAAACATTCTCTGAAATATTCAGCTCTTCTTCTCTTATGCTAACAAGCATTGGATCTTCCACTTCCATGCAAATCCCTAGAATAACAGGAAGACAGAAAAATCGCGATAATTTTCCCTCATCGACACCGGAAACATATTTCAGAGTTAGTGTTTTTATTCCATTTATAGAAAATTTTATAACACAATTAAACTTAAGATTTGTATCGCATCGTGATATTTTGAAAGGATTTCAGTGTCTTCTACCTGCCGATCCTTTCATTTGCCAACCTTCAAACATAAAGGCTTTTGAAGCATTAGTGGAATTTTACGCTGGAGATTTGGATACCTGTAAAGAAAGCCTTAAGTCTGAACTAAAACTCTGGTATAAAAGATTAAAAAGGATTAGTGAAGACGGAGGTAGTGTTCCAAAAACTGCGGCGGATGCTCTTGGAATGTGCAATAAAGATATAACACCAAACATTTTCAAACTCCTAGAAATATTGGTCGTTCTACCTGTTTCAACGAGTGCAAACGAAAGATCCTTTTCGACTTTGCGCCGTTTGAAGACTTATTTACGCAACTCAACGGGAAATAATAGAATGAATGGATTGGCGCTCTTAAGCATTCATAGAAAATTTACCCCAGCTGTCGAAGACATTTTAAACGAACTTGCAAAAAAACCCCGTCGTTTGGATATTACAGTATAAATCAATAAATTTTTAGCGTGTTTGTATACTGGTTTAATTCCCTATTTGTTGGTAAGTCATTTTTTAGTTAAATTCATTGGTTTTCTATGGAATATTCACATTTATATGGTTATTATTTAGGTAGCTGTTACAGTATGAGTAGTTTTTTCTGGCTTGATTTATTCCTACTTTTTAATAAAAATAAAATATTTTACCTCTTATTATAAAAAAAATTATATTCTTAAACTTAAAAAATAAAAACAAAATTTAACTAAACAATGTTGTCGAAATAAAAAGTCAAAATTGTCTAGCTGTCTAAATTAGGGAAGTAATAGTGCTTTATTACATACTCGAATTTCTTTTAGTAATTTCTGAAAATTATGAACCCCCCCCCCCTTGAAAAAATTCTGCGTACGCCACTGACATCGAACATTAGGATTACAATGAACAAAATCGGAGTGGTTGTCGGTTGCACCACACATTGAGATACACTTTTTATTTATCCTGAAAAAAAAAATCGTTCCTACACGCTGATTCACTGAATCTTCTATTCTTTGATACCGAAATTCAATGATTCCACCGTAAAGTACTCGCGCAGGTCAACGGGCTACAAAAGTGGGGGTAATCTTCCCTATTCCGATCATCAAAATTGTGATGGCATGACTCTGGATCATTCTCAGGCAAATATTCCAGGCTATGAGGTGAACCGGATTCGAATCCCATCAATGGCTGGTCGATGCGAGTTCCGAATCCGGCCTGCACAGTGCTGACGTCAAATATTTTGAGTGCTAGACGGATCATGTGTTAAGAGTCCCCTTGACGGTGGGTGGTTTTCCTCTCCGTATAACGCAAACGCCGGTTAGATCCATCAGAAAGTCCTCCACGAAAGCAAATTTCTCCCAATACTTGATCCAGGAGTTCCCTTGTCTTCTGGATTGTGTTCAAAATAACAAGGCTACGGAGTTGAACATCAGTAGTCGTAAACCCAAAAAATTGGGTCTGCTGTTCTACGACAATTAAAATATAAAATAAAATATATTCCAGACCGTCGTAGAGGAGACGCGATCGTAGTAACAGACAAAGTATCGACAGTACTAGTTTGCTTAAAAATTGACAAAAAGCTCCAAATTAAAATAATCGAATATATTTTTTTCAGTTAAAGGAGAATATTGGATTGTGATCCTTCCCAAAAGACGGAAAAAATACTTATTTCTGTTAAAATTTCGGGATTATAAATATCTATATAAAAATTTTTTTTAATGTAATCACTCAAAATCGAACTCCAAATTTTAAAAAAAAAAGTCAAAAGTTTTCTAATTTTCAGTCAATAAAGGCATGTGGCTACGAAAAGTTAGAATTTTTCTGAGATTAGTTTTTCTCTTACAATGAAAAATCTGAAATACCATCAATATATTCTTTTTAATTACGCTGTTTACGGGACACCCTGTATAGTCACATAGTTTACTAATATCACTTTAATAGTTTACTAATACCGCTATAATACTTTGCTAAAACCACTATATAAAGTTTACAAATAGTACCACTATAATTATAGAAATGTTGCTGTTAAGAATTTATATAAATATAACAAGTATATGAAAAAATTTAGAACGGGCCGAGAGAGTAAGTAATTTTGAATTCTTTTCAGGAAATTGTATACGAATAATCTTTTTCATATGCATGGGAACAATTATGTCGTAAAAATATAAAAAGTAACAACTTTTTATCTCAATAATCTATAATGTAAAGATTTAACTGAGACCTGATTTACATTTTCAGGCATACAAGTATGAAAAATTATTAATCCCCCTGCTCACAGTTTTCGCTAAATTGAATTATGCAGCGCGGAAAAGAAATCTTCAACTTTCGTATAAATTAACTCACAAACTAATGACCTCAAAAATAAAAAACATTTTGTTCTTCAGAATGTTCTTCAAACATTTCTCAAGAAATGTGCAAATTATTGTAACAGTGAAAAGCATGCTCGGTGAAAATTTCCTGAAACTATGGTGACGACGGCAGTAATTATTATTATTTTATTTTTATTTTTAAATATAAAGAGACATGCGGTTCTCAGAATGAAAAACTTGATATGTAGTTGGAACAATATTTTTGTCCTAAATAATAGAGATTCTGAGCAAAGATGCAGCTGGATCATTTGTAGACGCGTCGAAAATTTACGTAACACTCTTTCCTTCAATCTCTGCCTAGCGCTGCTGTCGTTTTTCATGCTAAAAATGCATTTCCAACACCCTTTGAAGTTTTTTACTGTGAAAGTCACGTTTCGATGGGGGGGGGAGAGCAGGTGTTGCCGTTTTAAAATCTAGAGATTATACTCGTACTGTAACATGAACCATGTGAGCTGCATAATCGTTTTTAACACTGTTTTTGAGCGTATACCTTATAATATATTAAAACAAAATTTTATTCTGTTCTCTCGGAGGATATGCTCAATGGTATCATAAGTGGGCTTCATTTATTTTGGTGATGGATGGTATCATATGTCGGTAAAGTAATTTTTAGGCTGAATGGTATCATATGTCGGCAAAGTAATTTTTAGGATGGATTATAATCTGTTGGTAAAATTGTTGTGTTGGATGATGTCCTATATTGGCAAACTTATTTTCAGGCTGGATGGTATCATATGTCGTTAAAGTTATCATGTCATATGTGGATGTCATATGGTAAACTAAGTTAATTTTATGCTGGGTTTCATTCTATGTTGGCTAAGTTATTTTCATGCTGGATGGTGTCATATGTTGACAAAGTAATTTTAAAAACACATCTAAGATGAAGAATATTTATTTGAGTCCATTGTTCGTGAACTTATAAGTATATAAATATTCGTTTTAAAATAAATTCATCGAAATGTACTTGTGAAAGCATATTTTTATTCAACTCAATAAACAAACAAAGAAATCAGAAGTATAGTTTTTAAAAGAAAACAAGCGAAGCATTCACTGTAAAGAATCTTGCGGTCTAACATCATTATTAGCTTCAACAACCCATACAGGGAAGAAAATGGACCTCTTGTCATTGCCACTTTCTATTGAAAACGACAGAATACTTTTTTTGATGTAAATAATGCTCTATTTATAGATTGAAGATGATTAACAATAAAATTGAGTTTTCAAGTCACATTAAAGTCCTTAGAAACCGCCACTATCTGCTATAACTCAGTTTGCGGTATTATTTCATATTGAATGAATGAGGAAAGTTGTGCAATGTTATCTGAAAAAGTTTTAAATTTTATTTGCTTAAGGAAAATCTTCTACTTCTCTTTTTTATCCTGGGAAATTTATATACTTTTACTCTAAGCTATTTTACGTAAAAGAAAGTGAGAAAAAAATCTCTTTAAATAGTTATATTATACGCTATCATTATTGTAAAGAGTAAAAATAATATTAAATGTTTAAGTTTATAATCTTTTCTTTCTTTGCGTTTCTGCTGAATGTTACATAGCTATCAAGGAGTTAGGCTATTCTAGCAGTGAAAAAACAAAGAGAATATTTTAGGATTATTTTCCACCGAGAAAATGGAGGGGAAAAAAAGAAAAAGGCTCTTTATAATACAACCAATGAACTATAAAAAAAAAAATTAAAAAAAAAACTAATTCGTCCAAAAGATGCGAAATAAAACTATACGTTGTAAAGTTTTGATTACGTTTTTTTTTAAATTTATTTACTCATTTATTAATTTTTTACCAAGCGTTTTTCTTAATTTGAAATTAATATTAAAATTTAAAGTTTTTAAAATCTGTTTTCGGTATTTTTTTTCTGTTACGGTAAACGTGATAATACAAATCCTTATTTTGATAGCAACTTCGTCAGGATTATCAGCTTCCTGAAAAAACAACAAAAAATCTCTATCTCTAAATACTTCTGTGAAAAATGCAATTTTAAGTATACTGTTGATATTGGAAGTCAATATGCGAAGATTTATGCGACTTAGGAGTGCGGTACATGTCAAGCAAAATACAGCTTTGGAAAATATATAAATAACATTTGTTGAAGTTTCTTAGCCGTACTCATGCAGTAGCTGTGCAAAAATTTTAAAATTGGAGAAGAATTTTTTTCTATTCAAAACCTTCAGACATTTTATTTCAAAGTATTAAACGAAACTTTTAAGGAAAGAATGTGCGAAAAGAAAAAGGTTTCCTCAAAAATTCTAACCTTACCCACGGAAAAGTAATATAAAATAACCACTTGAATAACTTTAGTTATGACCAAGTGTAGTGTGCGGACATCTTTGCCAGAGGGCGCTTCGCACACTCACCTCCGAAAAAAGTAATTAATTAAAGTGAGGAGAAGCATTCTCGGGACTGACTTGCGAAGTCAGATAAGATCATGTCACTAATTTACCTTTTCTTTTTATATTATTTTTACATATGTTAATAATAAACAGTGTTGTCTATATAAGTGATAGTTATTTATGAGAACCAACCACATAATATTCGTGAAGGAATATTACAACCAAGCATTTTTTTTTTTTCAATATTTCAGTGTGTTTAAATCATATTGAGAAACACTTCTTTTTTTCACTTCGATGCTAACATTTTAAAAATTAACTAAGACTTGTCTCTTTTTATTATTATTATGAGTCGCATAGAGAGATCGTGAAATCTTTCAACTTTTTGCCCACTGCTCACTCCAATCATCAACCAACGCAATTGCTTCTTTATGAGTGTTCTTTTTTAAAAATATATTCATCAACAAAAAAGACAATTTTGTTAATGAAGTATCTAGTTACTTTAACTTTATGTAAGAACGTATGTTGATATGATATTAATAAAGATAACCTAAGTCTGAAAATAATTAATTGGATTTGGAAAAAAAAAACTAACGAATTACATGTCAAAGAAGTAATTTTTCTCGTTAACGATAAATAAAGATATCATTATAGCAGTTCAAATTGGAAACGGAGTTCAAATTCAATAAAAGTTCAAATTGGATAAAGAATAAAAAGCTCGAGAGAGGTAAATGAAACTTCCTACAACAATAGATAAATAGCAGTTATTTTAC